CCCCCTCTCTCTCTCTCTCTCGCTCTCTCTCTCTCTCTCTCTCTCTCTCTCTCTCTCTCTCTCTCTCTCTCGGATTTGTGGAATGCTTCACTGTAACGCATGTTTGTACCTCCCGACTCTTTCAGGATGAGCTGATGACTCTCAGCCAAACGGCGAGCAAAAGCGGGAGCTCGGAAGCCGACAACATGGTGCGCGCGACGTCCAAAGATCAGAAGGAGGAGGGGATCATGAGGGCCAACCTCCAGAATAACAACGTGCAGCGGAATAAGAAGAACGAGGACGTCCAGGTCAGCCAAGAGACGTCGTCCGCTTCTACAGGTAAGCCGCTGGAACCTTTCCCAAAACCACCGGCGCTGTCCAGCCTGCTGGAAAATGGAGCAGCCCCCTCCCTGTGGTTCCCATAACCCCCAGTACCTGAAACATGGCACTGTGTAGTCACATGACGTTCCTGCAGCTGTTAGGTTGTAGCTTCTTTGTCTGCCCCATAATCCCTAATACCTGAAACATGTGTTACCTGAAACCCTAACCCTAAGGGTGATGCTTCTGGACCATTGTGGTTCCTACTTTTGCCTTGTTCCTATAATAACCTCCTAATACCTGAAACATGGAGCTGGCACAGGATTGGCTGCTGGGGGGATAAAGCAATAGTTGCCATTCCGGTGCTTCCGGTAGTCTCCTAGTATGTGGCACCGGTACTGTGCGGTCACATGACTGCAGGAAGATGGAGATAGTTGCTGAGCCGTCATGGCTGCTTCCACGTTCCCTTATAATCCCTCCACAGCGCTGCGCTACAACTCCTGTGTTGGAGGTGACGGGTTCAATAAAGAGAACCTGTCACCTCCAAATGCTATCACGCAGGGGGCTTGTTAGCTCCTGTGTGATAGCAATAAAGTTAAGTGAAATAAAAATTGATATAAAACAAATAAACATTTATGAAAAAATAAGTAAAAAATAATTAAAATGATAAAAAGTAAAAGATGGTAAGATTAAAAAAAATAAAGAAATTAACAAATTATAACAAAAAAAGTGAAAGAGAATCGGATAAATAAAAATTGTAAAAAATAAATAAAAATGTAAAAAGGGGGGGGGGCAAAATAATCCTTGCACCGGTCCTGAACGTGTTTCAGGGGCTCACACATCCCCCTTCATCAGGGCTAAGAAAACAAGCGGGTGTGTGTGTGATTATATATATACACACACACACAGCAATTCCCCAAAATAGTACTAGGCCTTAATTTCAAGGAAACAGGGTATATACACACATATACATATACCGTATATACTCGAGTATAAGCCGAGATTTTCAGCCCATTTTTTTGGGTGAAAAGTGCCCCCCTCGGCTTAAACTCGAGTCAGCGCCAGCG